ATTGTGATTTGAAAATCTTAAATATTTCTAATCCTACTTTATTATATTTTGAAAGTTTATCTTCGCATTATTAAAAAACTAATCCAACTTGGTTTAGTTTTCCAATAACAAATCTTTAGTTTAAAATTTCAAATGATGTCATGACCATATCTGATTTCATTTCATTTTTTCTTTTCTTTTTTTTTTTGGTATTTATGAAGATTCTTATCTCTCTGCTTGATTTATTTATGAAGTAACTGCAAGTTAAGTATATTTATCTATGTATTTATTTATCCACGGTGTTACCATATTCATAGTTATGTTACGCAGACAGAGAAAATATTGGATTGCGCTTCTTTCAAATTTCTCTTTTTCTAATTTCGCCTGAATTTTTATCATCTTTAATCATAGAACTTAGAATTTGGTTTCTCTTTGTAACTTGTCTTCTTATATTTCTACCAGGGGCACTTTAGCAATTTCTATTTACTTAAAACTCTAGTTGTTACGCCGTTGTTTTCGTTTTGATCCATATTTCATCTTGTCACATAATTTCCTGAAAGTAATCGGTGCAAAATGGTCCATCTATCATGAACGGGGACGCAAAACGTCTAGGATCTACAGGAGGTGAAGCATAAAGCGACAACAATTATTTTATACCCAGACGGGAGTCACTGATCTAAAATTTCTCTCATCAAAAACAAAAAATTATACTCCAAAAAAATTGTAACGAAAAGTTCGCTTGGCAAGTGAAAAAGTGAAGTTTGAAGGAGCTTAATTATTTCGATTCTAAAGATTGTGGATTTTGAAAAAAGTGACGGGAATAAAAGAGAAAAAATGGTTTGAAAGGGAGGTGAAAAACAGGGAAAGAAAGTAATGTGAAATTGGAGAATTAGCACCAACTCGAGTGAAGATAAAAACTCCTCGTTAAAACGAAAAGGGATTATCACCAAGCAATTCAAACTTCAACCTGAAGTAAACTTGAGAACTATCTTGACGCAAAGTATAGATTAAAAAAGATTAACGCTACTATACTGTGACTGGTTCTTGGCACAAGTACGGAAAATATCATAATAGTCGAGACAAAAAGTCCAAGCGCAAATCAGTGGACTTCTCCTTGCACAACGAAGACWCAAAAAGAGTTGTTAACGACCGAGTGAAACTTGACTAGTGTTTTTTTAAGAAGTCAATACATTACAAACGGTCCAAAAGAAGCAAGAGTTCTTCCTGTTAATGCACAAACCAGCAYGGGGCATGTCCTATATGTCTTGTGCCGAAAACAGATCTGACAAATCTATCAGCTACTTGTAGATAATGGATCTGGTGTTCGTGCCTGAATTGTAAGCTGTTTATCTTACAACCTAACATATAAGCACGAGAAAAATTTGGCACATAAAATACGCCAAAATTAAAATTGTTCTGTCCTAGAAACTTTAAAATCCTTCCTGGCTATTTTTATGTTGGACAACTGACAAGATCGATTGCAAGTTCTGGTTATTTTTCGTCAGCAAGCGAGCTTCGAGAGAACTACAAGCGAACTGAAGCTTGCTGCTGTATGTACATCTGGAATTCTTTAAAATAAGTTGTGAGTTAAGTCGCATATAACGCTACATTCTTTGAAATTACCTTAAATCATTCCAGCACATGAACCTCTGACGATGAATATTTTTTGGTTTTGAGTCAATCACACAACCATTTTCTAACAGCCACGCACGAGTTCATTGAGAGTCTGTAGCAAGAGAACTGATTAAACTAGATCTAAGGAATTCCTTTAACTGCTGCCTGTTAAGATAGACACCTGTCGATCATAGTGACGTCAACAATGATTCCTGTTTGCACCTCCTTTGGGGCAACACACTGGAAATTTTTTTGTGCACTTGACTTAAGTGCAATCTAGCGTTTTCACAACCCTGTTATTGTTACAGCGATCCAGGCTATCAATGAGTGCAATCCGGCGCTGTAAATAGAGTCTGTCAGGTTGACGCCTTGTGATTGAAGTGGTCAGAGTAATGATATACTAAGTTTCATAGCCCAAAACCAGCAAGAAAAACGGAGGCAAAAAGATTAGTAAGATTATAGTTTGTTTTTTTTCCCTTAGATCCAAAATCCGGTCAAATAGAGTAATATCGAAGGGAAAATGACATAACGCTCTGGGGGTAATTAAATGAAAATAAAGTATCCCCAGCAATATCATTTATAAAAATCTTGATTGAAATGCTTTTTGGGCTTCATATTATCCAATTATTTGTACGCATTTTGAGTAATCGAAATTCATTAAAATATTGAGCATAAAGATGAAGAGGGGAAAAAACATTAAAAAAGCATCAACATGAAGACAAGACTGCATATCAAGATTTCTTCCACGTTAATGACCAGTCGCAACTTGACATGGATACGATTGGGCATCGCTTTGGCAGATTTCACCGAGCAGTTTTCGTGACAGCCAACGGCTTTTCATCAGTGGGACTAAATGACTAATGGTTTACTCGCCTGTTTTACACGCAAGGACTTATATTAGAACTAGCAAACCCTATTAGAGGAGAGATTGAAAATCAAGGTTCTGCTTACCCTGCTGGCAGAGTCTCCTATAAATTTTTCCAAGCAAAAGAAACTAAAAGGAGGCTTTGCCAGCTGGGTTGGTTCTGCTAAGCTAGCTATGGAGTGGTTTCAACAATCGGATGATTTCTTTAGATTCTAATTTGAGCCCACGTTCTCGGTGGTCAGCAACGTGGGGTATGTTTTCGTTTATACTTTTTAAATGAGATACCAATGCCTCTGAGGGCATTTTTAGATTGATATGAAACTATATTGTTGAAAGATAATCATATCTATCCCGACCAGAGTTCATAGTGTTGCTCAATGTGATTTCAATGAGACTGTTAGGGGCCCAATGCAGATGGTTTTAAGGTGGCCGACTACTTTAGCAAAAAGTAATTAGAAAACGTTCTAAGAAAGTTAATTGAAGTACACTGAGAATTTAACGCCGATTCAAAATAAAAAGAGAAGGATATGGGTTGTCCAGAGCTCGTTTTTGAGATCTTTTATTTTGAATATTACTAACTCGACCAACTCGACATTACTAACTCGAGACTATTCGACTAATCTCGAAAAATGAAAAAGATATGGAAGCAATCTTCTCACGACATTTGCTTTAAACATTGTTTTCAATAACTAACTCAAAATATTTGAAATGTCGTTAAGCTTAACCTTAAAATTCAGCATTTTGATCGTTTAATGAACCGACAATCGTTTTGAAACGAAACGCCTATTGATTAAAATTTAAAGGTAATTTAATTCAGCGACTTTTAGCCTTTTTTGTGTGCGTGCGCACAAAATGAACGTTGTAAAGTCCCCAATCTCGTTACCCAGAGCCCTTATTTCTTACTGCGCATGCTCCACGAAATAAAATCTGGGTACGAGATTGCAAAAACGCCTGCCCCCTTAAATGATCCCGTAATACRTTGTATCAAGAGTTCATAATGTGTATGTTTTTTAAGGGTAACAGACACCAAAAAGGAAAACTACAAAAAAGTGGAACCCTCTAATGCGGATAACAATAGGACGTTTGCACAATGGCGCCAGTGACCTCTACTACCAGACTCCCTTGCACACTTTCTTTCGTTCAGTTGATTAGCACCCACTGTCTTACTATTCTCATGAGGAAATACAAATTTAAATAAGAAAGAAAATTCGCGAAGCATCTTGATAGTGGGAGTCAAATGACGCCATCATGCAAACGTCCTATATCAATTCTTAAAATAGTGTTGTAAATATATTACAATATTTCAACATTTTATTGACGGAAAGTAAAGGAACTAGCAATTCAGAAAAGTAGCGTTAATCTAGCTGAGTAGTGGACACCGAAGGGCCAGAGAAAGGTGTCCGTATTCTGAATATCAGTGGTGTTCGTAGTGCCATTTAACAAAGTATTTCTTATTAGCATCCATTGTTAACGGCACCACAATGGCCGCCATGCTTTTGTGTTTTAACTCTCTTGGGCATGCATGCATCCATCAATAGAATTTATTTTTTTACAAAGAATGTATGGTGATTTTTTAATTTTTAAATTAAAATTTGCCTTGACCTAAAGTTCCTCCAACATGGCCGCCGTGAAAACCATCAACATCTTTCTTTTTTATCAATTTTCTTCAATCAATTTTCACATAAGTTCCTCCCCTCCCCCCACCACCTCTCCCATTGCTTGGGTCCGAATACCTGTATCAAACATGGTGTCCTCGGGTTTTGTCCGATGAACTAAGTTCTTAAAAAAATTGTATCGGTAAAGGGGTCCGTAATGTGAGGTTCCACTGTAATGTTATAAATCATAAAAAAATATTGTTGTCATATTTCTAAACAATCTTCCGTTTAATATAGACTCCAAGTGTGCGTTATGCTGCGTTGCGGGAGGTTTTACCATTAAGTTTACGAAATGTTTTTGCCGGTTCGTCAATTTTCAACACACGAATCAATTATAAAATTTGACTTAAATAAAAAAATTAAAAAAAAAACAACAAAAAAACACGCAAGAATACGAGAAAAAAACATGACAGTGATACACATTTCCTACTACATTATAAAACCTTTAAAAACTAGAGAGAGAGAGAGATAGAGAAACAACTAAAAAAATTATAAAGAAAATGCTATCATTTGAGCTTTCATCTACACTGTTCTTTCCAGAACTTTCACGGCGATTCTTCACGACTGGTCTACCTGTGGTTTTATATTTACACAAACAATTCAATCAACGAAAATCATGTCATTCTTTTCATAGTAGTAAAAAAACTACAATATTGGAATAAAGTTAATAGAATTTCGCTTAGACAAGCTACTGTTTTAAGTAATTTTGCCATAGTATCACTCAGATCAGATCTCTTTATATTCACTTACGTGGCAGAATAACCTCGACTTCGTGTGATCTTCATTTGCATGTCGACAATGACAGAAGAGAATATCGCTCAAATACCCGGTTAAAATTACCAGTTTTTCTTCCAAAATCTTGGGTTTTTTTAGAAGAATATTCACCAGAATAACCTATGGATGTCTAAAGATTAATTATGAGTACTTCAGGCCTTGATTTAGAGCTTTTATCTGAGATGACAGACCACAAAGAATTCGAACGAACACACCTCACTGACGGTACGTAATATTATCAGTCAAATGTGTCTCCCAAATCTTAGGAAATAATGGTTCTTGAACCTTAAAAAATAGCTCTTTAGACTCTTAAAACGTAAATATATTTTTACACTTGATTTAGAACAATGTGAAGCTTCAAACAATTTGCTTAGAAATATTTTAAAAAGCCGTATTTTTAGACAATATTTTACGCTTGACTTCGCAATTCTGAGAGTTCTCCAGTAAGAATCAAGAGGTCATTCGTCACACCCAATGTTTCTTTACATTATATCGATTTTTTAATATTATAGAGAGCAGAATTAAGAATTCCTGGATTGCTTACTTTTTCCTTAGCGTATTTCTCATGTGGCGATAAATTTTAGCCAGAACCCACTTACGTAAATAATATTAATACAAATTATCTCACACACACACACAAACCAACTTGAAGTTTTTCTGTGCTATAGGTGTTCTAATTTTCCTGTTAAAAATCTTATTTCCGTGTTTCTTTTTTATTATACAGTTTTTATGTATACGATATTGTATTTATTGAATGACTAAAACAAAAACACGAAATGTTATGAAACCTGCTCTCTTGTGTCACTTCCGGTGCTGAAAGAAAATCGTCATTTCCGGTCCTAACATAATGTCTGTCTACAACTTACACCTCCCCGGCTGACCATACGTGTCCCGTATGCAGAAAAATCATAGTCCCTACGAAATGTCGTAGCACGAAGTACATATAAAGACCACTACAAAACTAAGGGATTTGTTATTCTCCAGTGAATGAAAAATTGTTACTCTTGAAAAATATAATAAAACAAAAATACAGGAAACTCAACCTTAGATTAACCAAAATAACTGTCTTTCTAATGCGAAATGAAATTTTAGATCTAAGCAAAAATTTAATTAAATGGCCTAGTCTCAACTAGTCGCCAAAGATTAGGGATATTGAAGTAGAAATGGCTTTAAAATTGTTTTCCTGACCGCTAAGAATTAATGGCATGGTATTCCTGTGTTGTTTTTTTTTCATTTCGAAATTTCATCAGCTGGCTCAAGTAGATATACCACGCTAGTTACACAGATGCTATCACGGCGGCTTCTGATTGGCTAAGAATAAAGTATCTGTCAAATAATTCGTTGGTCATTTCAGACCTCCGGATTTGTTCTGAATGAGATCGATGAAGACGTTACGCTAATATTTCTTCAAGAAAAACCCCCGTTCCTTTTGAAATCCCTTGAGAAAAAWTTACTTGCTACACTTGACGTGTTCTCTAGAGGATGGATGAAGATATTGGAACAGTTTTAGTCAAGTGTAGTTACTGTGATAATCGTTGGAATGATCTTGGTAAAATGTTTTCTCAGTAAATAAATAGAATCTAACAAAATAAACTAAACGTCTAGAAATTAATATTCATTTACATGTTATATTTTATACTAATAAGCCCTTAAATATAAGTAAGTTATCATTCATTTCTACAGTGTTTAATATTGTATTATTTTCTTTCAGATCTCGAATTGGCAGCAGAAATCGGGAAAAATCTCTTGGAAAGGAATAAGGAGTTGGAGTATTTGCTCAARTCGTCACACCAGTACCTGGAGGAACAATCGCTCAAAAATGAGGTATTTGAATTTTGAATTGGATTGAACCTTTTCTCAATTTTGTAAGATTTTTGGGGTCGGTACGATGTCAGACGTTATCAGAAACCAATCTGGATGAAATGACACTCTGCATCAGCCATATGAAGAATCTTATAAACAAATTACGGCTCAAAAGTTAGCTCAGAAGTTTCGAATCCACTTTCTATCGTAATTTTGCCCAAAGAATCCAAAATAACCAAGAGAAATATCAAAATTACTTTCCAAAGAAAAACAGTCTGAAGCTAAATGCCGTTTTTAATAAATGTTTTTATTAACTTTCGAATTTRTTGACATTTTGGTTTAGTTTCTGGCCAAACAATTAGATACTCTTCGAGAGGTGAACGACAGTAGAAACAAAGCTTTCGAACAAATGGAAATGACAGCATTGGAACTACAGAAAGCTAACCAAAAGTTGCAAAGCGAAACAACAACGATGAAGAAACGGTATAAAGATTTAGCAGAGATGGTTGAAGGCATGGACCTTCGCTGTGAGGAGTACAGGAAGGAAATAGAAGACTTGCAAAAAGAAAGAGTTCGTCTTCGACGTGACCTGTCAATGGCTTTGTCCATTCGTGAAGAAAGCGATACCTCTGATAGTGAACTTACTACTTGTRTAAAAATAGAAAAACCAAACTTGACAGAGGAATTACGAGTGGAAAACGAGAAAGAACTCGAAGCACTGAATGAAAAAATATCAAAACTCAAAGAACAACATTTTTTGGAAAGGAAAAAACGCGAGGATCTTGAATACGAGCTTTCCGAGTTAATTCACGAAAATCAACATCTCGAATCCCAGCTTCGTACTTTCGCAGAACATGCCGAAGAATGGCAACAGGTTGCTTCGGAAAATACGACTGGCGAACGAATTGCCGATATCTTACCGACAACAACMCGAAGCGACAGTACGGAGGATCTCGTAGACGACGATTCGTTTGTGSTTGTTACCGAGCAGTTGTCGAGGCAGTCGAGTGCAATGTCAGATCATAGTGGTGTTGTCGTGTTGAGCCCGAGCKATGAAAAACCAGAAACTTCGAGTCAAAATAGCGCTTCGTTCTTTTCCGAACTTGGCGATCAATATCACGAACTTGTGCGAAAATATGACGCTTTGTTAGATAGATGTAGACTTGAAGGTCTCGGGAAAAACTCGGCACCAATCCCTAGGGTCCAAAGAGCAGTGCAAGTGAGTCCTTTACCAAGCCCTTTAGAAACCAGACCTCGCTCTTTCACTGAAGGGGACTTGAAGAAAGATGGGACGAAGAGCAAAGAATATAAGAAAATGTTTGAACATATTTACGCAAAGCTCGAAGAGTCTAAAAATTTTCGACCTGGAACTCCATAAGAGTAAACACAACAAGAGAAGGATGCTTGGATTTGCACAGCCGAGATGGAATGAAGAGAAAAAAAGACGGTTAAAAGGCATGCAGCGAYATCTTTTGTTTGTTTTGATATTAAACTTTTGATTGTTTTTAGCGATTTGATTTTTAGCTTGCTGGACAAGATAACAAGATGTTTATATTATTTTTAAGAAGTTTAAATTACACTATTATTTAGTCAATCGTCTCAGCTAGTTCATTGACTCGAAGCATTGGGGAATCCCTTTTTGTTATGAAACTCAAATTTATTTGTCTCGAAGGAAAATTTTCCCCGCTATGACAATCGAGCTGAAGAAGTTTCATTTCCTTCGCCACAAGAACTAATTCCAAGGAAGTTCTAGAAAAGTAGACCAGCCTCAGCTGTAGCACAGAAGATTATTTAAAAACCCTATGTTATAAAAGAGCTAATCAGAATTAAAAACGGTCATAATATCAATTTGATTGATATAATTATCATTTTACAAATCTGAAAAATATAGCATTTTATTTGTATTTTCAAGCATTTTTCTGTAAGTTAGTTTTATAAGCGAATATTAAGAAGCTATTATATTAAACTGAAATGTTTTTTTTAAAAACAAATCGGTATAAATTGGTTACATTTTGCGATATTGCGAGCTACTTGCAAAATTGGATGATAAAAAATGATTGAATTTCGAAAAATGTTTTCGGCGTCGCGATTTTCTAGTCCAACGACGGTGAAAAGCCGACACTGAGTCAAGTGATCATCGATGGATTTGTGAATTCCCAATTCCGTCAGTGACCTTTCCTCGGGCTCCGCTTGGCCCTGTTTCGGTAATCACGTGATCTTGTCAATCACACGTTAATCACGAATAAGAGGTGGTAAATCTCGAGCTCAGTCTTAGTTCGCGAAGTCAGGTGATTTTTTTATGTATGTAAATCAGATGACTGTAAGACATGAACAACTTCGAGTCCAGTCTGTCCTCGGTGAGACCACATTCGGTATCGCGCGAGGTCTTTTCTGGTAGCAATACCCGTTACCTGTCAATCAAAGTACCATATTTGAATCATAGTAAAAACAGATCGTGCAGGTAGGGTGTGGTGGATTTGMACGTTGAATATTTTCAACATGCATCCAATAGACCCCTTGTAGCACTTTGGAATGCAGCTCAATTCGGAGGACATAACAATAGGTTTCCAATTCCCAAGAGATTGAAATTCTTTTGTTTTGTCCTCCAAATTAAGCGGCTTTGACGTTACATGCAAGGGGTCTATAGACCTCGTTACCTTGGGCGTAATGTTTTCTCATTTCAGACCACGAGTCATTCTCTCGAGAATATAATTCTTTGTTTGAGTTGTATCCAATGGCTTCTCATGCACAACCATTAAACAAAGAAATGATACTCTAGGGAAATGACACGTGGTCTGAAATGGAAAAACATTACGTTCAAGGTAAAGAGGTCCATTAGCCATTCCGACATTAAGGTGAAAATCTGTCGATTTGACATTGCGGTGCATTTTGGGGCCGTTTTAGGAGAGGAAAAGCCGCCATCTTGAAAATAGGTCCCCTAAAACAGTCCCACAATTAATTACGATCCCAGCTCCACCCATTTTTTCCTCAACCTCGCGGTGGGTAATTACTGCTTATGCATGTGGCAAATTGCTCATGCAACGAGTGCTGAAAAAAGTCTTTCCCAAAGAATCCTTATCAACATTTTTGAGCTACACTGAAACAAATGTTCAAGTATTCAGTTAGATTCAGTATGCCCACTGAATGCTTTTACAAGAGTTCTATTACAAAAATCGTGACGTCATTCTGACGTCATGCTATCACGTGACTTACCCTGTTGTGATCATCCACCACTACTATGTGCCTCAGCCCCAGGGCCCTGAACAGACGGAAGACGCGTGGCAATGAAGAACTCTGTAGAACAAGGAAACCGCTAGATATGAGATTGTTGAAGCACGTAACCAATAGTCATTGGTTCTCATCTGCAGAGAACAGACATGCTGCTTCACTCACATATATTATTATTATTATTAATTATTATTATTATTATCATCACCATCATCATTATTATTTATTATTATCATTATTATTAATAATTATTATATATGATGTTGGGTCTGAGGATCGAACCTTGATTCAGTGGTGAAAGGCAGCTATAAGCAGTGCACTTTTCTCATGTTCTTCCACGAGACATCTACCTCAGAAATCAACTTTATACTATATTTATAGACTCACTCGTATGTTCACCGGATTTGAACTCGTTGCCTGTCTCGTTGTTCGTGAGTAACTAAGAACAGCAGTTGTTCTATCAGTCATTCTGAGGTGGAGTAAAGGACTGCGTCTGTCAAGTTGGATTCGCAGTGCATTGTGGGACTGACTAGGGGACGAAATAGAAGATGCTTTGGGATTATCCCTTAATGCACTGCAATGCAAACTCGACCGAGTCTTCCTCAACSTCTGAACGTCTAATACTGTATAATGGATAATATTATTATACATACTTCTTGTACTGTGTAGGGGGCAGGATTCATAAACGGCGTAAGATCTATGTAGCACTCTCGTTCTCTTTGAGATATGTTGATATTCTGAGGGGGAAAGGGGAGACAATCTAATTAATGAATTATTTATAAATAATAAATAATAATAGTAGTATATATCAAAACCCAACTAAAAMAAACTAACTCAGATTATTGGAAATTTGATTGACAGATGCAAACGAAAACCATAACATCTAAAATTGTTGCTGGTTGTCCTGGTCACTTAAYTATGAAAATGGGTGTAATCAGTGAATAATGCATGGCGCAAAAAATGAAACCTTGCKTTCRAGTTGCGACCGCAAAGCATTATGGATGGAATGGGGGGACAAAAACAACCAAGTTAGAATTATCTTACTCTTATTGGAGGAAATCTTGGGTAAGCATCTCTGAAGTCTTTCAGTTGCAGGCCGTGTCTTCTTAAAGGTCKGTCAGAGTCACTGAATAACTGTGGCACAGAAGAAAGAAAAGAGTGAAGCTGCAGAATGTACTGTGTATAGCACCACATAAGGGACTGAATTGCTGGTTTTCGATCATTCCCAAGAGAATGAAATAACAAAAGACATGGCAGCCATGTTGGAGGATATAACAAAAGAGACTAATGACGAAACTTTTGTTAAATTCCTCCAACATGGCGGCTGTGAAAACCATCAATGTAGGATCCGTACAAGCCAATGAAAAAAGGCCATGTTCGAGATATTTATTTAGAATTCTAGCACGATACCAAAKGTCAAACCTCAAATAGATCAGTAGTGTAGTACTGTATAGATTCGATTATAATGTTGTTGAGTAGCCAACGGACTAGTATTTCCACTTTAATTTTCTCATTATTGCCGAAAGGTATGAACGTCATATATTGTACATTTTTTTATTCCTAGCAATAAATGTACTCAGTGATCCACGTGTTCTTATCATACATGAAGTACAATAGGACTAAAGCCTTGCAATCAAGTCTGAATTTC